GATGTCCCATGATTTGGGCATGACAAGCGTTGCAGGGCCTCAGGGTTTTGCGGGTCTAATGGTGACTTTGGTTTACGTGTGTGGAAAGGATGGTGGTCTTTAGTAAGGTGGTTAAACCACAGAAGATTTCAAAATACTCACACATTCATTATTAAATTAAGCCATCTGCCATCTCACGAAAACTCGGTTAATGGGTTTGTGGAAAGAGGTGAACTTGAATAGTGCACAGATTACTATGGAATACTCAAAACTAAACTGAAAGGCTGAAAGAGGCCGAAGGCTAGGAATTCGATGGAAGAATACGATTTGAAGGTGGGTGATTGGGTGAATTAAACGATAAGGAATACGTCCACTGAAGAAATGCATGGGAATTAGTCTAGCCATGCGCAGGAACTGGAAATCATGTAAATGTTGGCAAAAGACAAAAAAATTGTTGCCATAAAACGCTGGTTCGTGGCTGCGTAGGTAATTCGCCAGTAAACTAAAGCACATTTCGCGGGCGGTTTAAAAAAAATATATATATAAGCAAATCATTACACCAATAAATGCCTGCTTCGAACAAACCATTGTGCTGGAGTAGCGGAAGTGTCACTTCAACCTCCAGTTGCTAGCAGACTTGAAGCTCTCATGAGCGATTGATTTCGTTGCCACAGTGGGACTTGGTTATACTTCAATCTTTCATGGATAGGGCAACGACTATCTTTCGTCCAAATAACTTACAGTGACTAAAACTGGAGGTCTCTGTTTCATAGAATTTCATGTTTAAGGCGCAACTGATTACTTGCCCTCGATGATTGACATTTGGCACGGGTGATTGGGTTCATTTGCTTACATTTACCCCAAATTGTAGAGATTAACTGAATACAATGTTTCATTTATTTATTTATGGTAAAACGGCTTTCCTACAATCGTAGAAACCTGTGCGAAACTGGCTCTCGAGCAATCCCTAGATTTTAATTGAAGTGCTGGATGTGAGCTGCTAGATCAAAGCACTGACACGCCACTTTCCTCCTTTCATCGCCCCCCCCCCCTCCTTCCTTTCCTCTCCTCCACTTTGAACTCTCTCACTCTCTGTTACCTTGATCAACTAGAAACGCTGTTTAAAGATGCCTACTTTCGGAACGTCATAAGCTATTTTAGCGCTCTTTTGCGTCCTGCTTTCTAATGTTAAGGAAAAAAATGGCAGTTCTCACTGGACGCGAAATCCACTCACACCTGATGACTGACTCGAGGCTGCAAGGTCTAAATCTAAATGCGACTTTGATGTTGGGGCATTTTGCATAGAAATAAAACGAAAGAAAATTGCTTTTGTCGGGTGGGTTTTGTTATTTGTTATTTCGTCGCACTCATTGCAAGGTATTAGCGCTCGAGAAAGGATTTGTGCTTTTGGATTAACTGGCTTCAACTTTCTCATTTTTTTCAAAAATCTCGTGTTCTCCATTGCACCACTAACAGGCTGTTTGGATGGGCACTAGGAAATGCGGATGAGTGTTCTCCATTATCCTGCAGTTTCCCAAGCCACATCTCGTTTTGATCCTATCTGTGTGTTACTTCTTTATTTTCATCGAAAGTGTGTTTGGAAAGGGGATGATGGGGGGCGAAAAATCGAACAAATAAATATGTATTTTTATGCGCTGCTGAGTCACCATGGATGTAGAAGCACAGCTACAAAGAAGGCGGGAAAGAGGGAGAAACCAAAAAAGGACCTAGGGTGAGAGTGATGTTATTATTGCCATTGAAAGACTACTGCCTCTATCTCACCCTCCACCTCCTCGCTGGCCACGGTCGATACGTCGTCGGTTTCTTCACATCGTCCGCCGCAGCGGCGACCTCTTGCATCGCAGCGAACTTCGATGTCGGCATCACGACGACAACGCAAAGGCTCGCTTGGACACCCCGCTGCACCACCAATGGCCTATAACAGTGCTAAACCGGATGAGGCAGAGGAAGGAGTGGATGATGAACTTCTCCAACGACCTCCCACTCCTGATCTCCGTCGCATTGATTTAGACCTCTCAGACCTCTCAGACGGGCTTCGCGTCTTACTCATTGAGGATACACATCTGCGAGCCGGCACGCTTTACCTTGGTAGGTATCAACACATCCTGTATACCGCTCTGGCTTACCCATTGCTATCCTAGTCCACGTTAGGAGCTCACTTAGTACAACTTCTAGGAGATAAGAAATATGTG